AGCCGGCCGCCGGCCGCGCCAGTCAGGTCGTCGCCGGCCCCAGCTGCTGGCGCTACCATGAGGCTGCGGCGGCTGCGGCGCAACCGCGACGCCTCGGCGGAGCCGGCGAAACCGGCGCCGGCGCGCTTAGGCCCCGGCGACTCGGGGCTCGGATCCAGTCAGGTCAGGTCAGGTCAGGTCGGGTTGGGTCAGGCGAGCAGAGGGCCGGCTTCTGTATCATAGTGCGTTGCTCAAGTGCGGCTCCGGCGGCCTCTAGTCCGGTTCGCATCCGCTGCGCCGTCGTGACCGTGCGTGAGGCACGTGTGCCGGTTGTCTTCGGGTCAGGTCAGTGACTGAAGGGCACCTTAGGTCAGGATCCTCCCACGGCCTCGGGGCTCGTCCTGCGCGCGAGGCGGCGATTTCCCGCCGGCTCTCCGCGGTTGTTGCGTTTCCATGCGAGCTTACGCTGTGCGAGAGAGAGTGTACGGACCTTACGGTGCGAGGATCTTGGTGCCAGGGAGGTTGTCCCTCTTTCCCTCCCAGCATTTTAGGTGGCGGACTCGTAATGCTTTAATCCCGTGCAATCATAAGCTCTTGATCAAAACGGGGCGTAGTGTACATTTTTTTTAGAGCTGCCGACAGCTGTTCAAACTCCGAACTTAATTTGCTCACATCTTGTGAGGAATTTCACTTTGAGTAAATGTTTGGTTACTTCTCCATACCCACCCTCATAACCTCAGCACAGCGTCTTGGCCGACTGCCTGTGAGGTGACGGGCGTGGCCTGTGGTCACGCCGGCTCGGCTCACCGGTGGATCGAAGGGGTCGACGGCCCCCCTCTGTGCCGACTCGTCCGAGGCCGAGACCGCGCGCTGTCGGGGCGCGTGCGCTCAGGTGGAGGTGCTTCACAGTAGCGCAGAACGCCGTGCGGTAAGCTCGATTCTTGCTTGGTTGTGATAAACAGAACGTTTTTGAGACGTCGCTCCCACTTCATTTGAGGGCGTCGCTCCTACTTCAATCGCAGGAGTGAGCCGGTGCCAGTGAATGCTAGTGAAAATGCTCCGCCGTTGCTTCCCTTTTTTAACGCAAACATAGTTTGCACTGGTAGTCTCACTCCTCGGCGAGGGAATGCGCGGACCTGCGGCAGGTCAGCGGGCGCCGCGTCAGTGTCAGACTGGGTCAGCGGTGGCTTCGGCCGCTGCCGGTGGCCACCTACAGTGGGCTCCAAGCCATCTGAGCGTCAGCGGGGCAGCGGTGTCCGCCGCTGTGGTCAGAAGCCCACGGAGTGAGAGTGAACCCGCAGTCTGGTGCGATTGAACGCTTCCTCGCCCGCTGGTGGATACTGTGGACGGCGGCTGCGTGACACACGCCTCGAGGCCTGGGAAGGAGAGGAACCTTGCCCAGGCGGCGGTGCAGGACCTGGGGTCAGGTATGTGACCTGGAGTGGCGGTCTGATTTCGTCCCTTTGCGACGTCGTCTGGGTCCGCCCTCGGCCGCTGCCTCAGGCTCCCGACAATAGGATTGCGCCCGCCAGCCGCGCTTTGTCACGTTGGTCCTGGTCGTGGCCTGGTTTTGTCACGTTAGTTCTGGTCGTGGCCTGGGTCGCTCGCCAGGGATTGTGTGGCCCCCGCGTTATCGTTCCGACGCGAGGTCGCCATGTAAAACACGACTCCGCGCTGCTTTCACTGCGAGATCGTGCCAGCGGCCTTGACTTTATACTCTGGCTGATGGCGCGGCTGTGTAAACTCGCATCGTCGTCGGCGAAGGCTGCGCTGGATTCCCTCACGCTAACCGACGGGGTCTGTCCAGCTCCGGACGCGGCGAGGCCGGCTGTGTTTACGTCGGCTCGTGTCATGGTCCGTCGACGGGCGCGGTCGTGCTCCACCTGTCAGAGGCCGGCTCCGCTCGTTCCGCCCGTCAAAGGCCGGCTCCGCTCGGCCCGTCCGCCATAGGCCGGCTCCGCTCGGCCCGTCCGCCATAGGCCGGCTCCGCTCGGCCCGTCCGCCATAGGCCGGCTCCGCTCGGCCCGCCCGTCAAAGGCCAGCTCCGCTCGGCCCGTCCTCCATAGGCCGGCTCCGCTCGGCCCGCCCGTCAGGGGCCAGCTCCGCTCGGCGCGCCCGTCAGGGGCCGGCTCCGCTCGGCCCGCCCGTCAGGGGCCAGCTCCGCTCGGCGCGCCCGCCGTAGGCCGGCTCCGCTCCTGGCAGCTCCAGCAGAGCGGCCGCTGCCAACAGCTGCTCCGCAGGGAGGCGACACATTCTGGGCTCCTGACACATGGAGCCAGTGCCACCTGGAGTGCCGCTGACGGTTATTGCGCCGGCGTCCAGCCCAAATGATGGAGGTGCCTCGCTCCGCCGCCCGCGTTTGCAAACAACCCCTTGACGTCTTTCGGCGCGCAATTGGAAGTAAAAAGACGACTGACCTCCGCTGGGCCTCTGTGGTCTTTTCGTGCAAGCACTTTTTCTCTACCCGCGTATGCACTGCACCGACGGCTTCGCGGTACAGGAACCGAGCACGCACGCAAAGACCTGGCCGCCAGTGCCGGTATTCATCAGCTGTTGTCCGGCTTGGTTCAGGCCTGGTTCCATCCACGCGGCGCCCGAGCGGCGCTGGCCGGTCTGCGCGCGTGTGTGACGTCAGAACAGGATTGCCGCGGGGTCCTCTCGGGGCGAGGCGGGCGCGCGCCGCCGTCCAGCGAAGCTCGACTTGCATCGCCGTCGACGCGAACGCGCGGTGACCGGTGTTGGTGTTTGCCCGGAAACAGCCGTTCGTGCGGCTCGCGTCTGTCGTGGGGCGTGTGACTCAGCGCGCCGCGGCGTTGACGCTATCGCCTGGGTACGGGATGTGCCGCGCGTCTCGGCACACGTATGACGGGGTTATCTCGGGTCTATCGTCACCGGTTGCGATAGTGGGGCTGGTTGGCCGCGTGCCATGGACTTTGGCCCGCGCTCGCACTGCTGCTGTTTGACTGTACGGTTGGCGCAGCAGGCTAGTGATGCCCGTGACGTGGGCGGCCGGGCAGCGGCTCAGCTGCTGTCTGGCTCAGCGGCGGCTCAGCTGCTGTCTGGCTCAGCAGCGGCTCAGCTGCTGTCTGGCTCAGCAGCGGCTCAGCTGCCGTCCGGCTCAGCGGCGGCTCAGCTGCTGTCTGGCTCAGCAGCGGCTCAGCTGCTGTCTGGCTCAGCAGCGGCTCAGCTGCTGTCTGGCTCAGCAGCGGCTCAGCTGCTGTCTGGCTCAGCAGCGGCTCAGCTGCTGTCTGGCTCAGCAGCGGCTCAGCTGCTGTCCGGTTCAGCAGCGGCTCAGCTGCTGTCTGGCTCAGCAGCGGCTCAGCTGCTGTCTGGCTCAGCGGCGGCTCAGCTGCTGTCTGGCTCAGCAGCGGCTCAGCTGCCGTCCGGCTCAGCAGCGGCTCAGCTGCTGTCCGGCTCAGCAGCGGCTCAGCTGCCGTCCACAGCGGTCGGGAGAGCCCCGCCCAGTCTGTCATTGGGTTTGGCATAGTGGGCCAATGCTGGGAGAGCCTGCCCCATCAAGTGCTTGTGATGCATGACTGCTGTGGGCACTTGGCCATCGAGCTCTTTGGCCGTACTCTAGTTGTAGGATTGCCAAAAAACAACGAACATCGTGAAAACATCACATCGTTGGTGTTCACAAATGAAATAGTGCTTACCAGGTCTGTCACCAGGAATCAGGCGGTGTGCCTGCTACCTGTGTCTATGAAATCACCCTGTTTTGCAGCTACTGACAGACTGTGTTGTAGGCAGTCGCTACGTAGTGCTACCTTGTGACGGCATAGTGTGATTATGATTTTGCTTATTATTTATGTTCTGTACGCATTTTTGCTAATTACTTTCTGAATGTGCTTAACGTTTTGACCTCGGAGTATCTTGTCGGTTTATTTATAATTTAGCTTTCTTGTCAGAAATCGCAAAGCCCCTGTCTGTGCCGTTATTAGATTGCGTGTAAATTTATCACTGACCATGAATATATGACTTCATTTTGGCTCACTTTCGGCATGTTCCCCATGTACAGCAGTTTCGTTCCCTGTCGTTTTCGGCCCTTTTAGTTTTCTCCTGGTGAGTTCGCCGTACATGTCCGATGGGATTATGAACTGGCGGCGGTCGCTAGCTGCCGCCGTGGCACGGTGAATGCGGCGGGCGGCGCCGCCCCGCTCGAGCACCAGGCTGGCTGCCCGGTGCAGGAGTCGCTCCGGCGTAAGAGACGCTTGCGGCGGATCGCCTATTTGCAGTGGCGGAGCGTGGCATGCAGTGGTTGCAGGGTTTCTATCGTGACACCGGCTGGTTCCGCGGCGGCGCTGTGTTGAGGTGACCGCTTCACCGAACAGCCGCGTCACCACTGGTGTGCTGTGTAGCGGCGCAAGCGTCCGCGATGTCTGTTGTGATGCTCGAACTCATTGATATGCTCTGCTGACAAGGAGGATGCACTGACTGCTACGACCGCTGTGGTCTGGTTCGACGGTACCCGTGTCGTGCCGTGCCGTGCGCCGGCGGCTGAAGGCTGACCCATATGGTATGCTGTGCCGTGCCGTGCCGTGCCGTGCCGTGCCGTGCCGTGTCGTGTCCGTGCCGTGCCGTGCCGTGCCGTGCCGTGCCGTGCCGTGCCGTGCCGTGCCGTGCCGTGCGGTGCCGTACCGTGCCGTAAGACTACGTGTGCCGGCGGCGGGAGTAGTAGGCTGTAGCACACCTTGGGCCGACAAGAAGCCGACCTCCATGTTGTGCGGGGCCGTGATATGATGTGATTGCGGTGCTGTACCGTTCCATGACAGTCTTTACCAATACAGGGTCGTTTTTACCACAGGGGTAGTTCTCCTGTTCTTAGCTCTGGTGTACTCTCAAACTTCTGCTCCGGCGCATGACAGTAAATATGCCTTGTATGGGCCTGCAGGAGATCTGCTGCTCCCGTGTGCTGTGCTGTGCTGTGCTGTGCTGTGCTTTGTTGTGTTGTGCCGTGCTATGATGCGATGTGATGCAGCGTAATGTGCGGTCCCGTGAGCCGCTGTATTGGCTGGCGGCAGGAGTTTTACCACTCAGTGGGCCGACTGGAAGCGGACTCAGCGGCGGGCAGCGACGCGCCAGCCACGGCGCCACCGTCGCCGCCCAGCCAGCTCCGTCCCGGCCGCGATGAGGATGAGTCGGACACAACCGAGGACGACCCAGGTACGTGCCTCTCCCACGCCGCCGAGGATGACCCTGGTACGTGTCCTCCCACACCACCGGGGACTGTTGCGGTACGTACTCTCCCCACACCGCGGAGGATTATGGGCGCCACATGACCAACGTAGTCGGTGCGCCCCAAAGCCCAAATCACCATCCTCATCACCACGGAGGATGACCCTGGTACGTGCCCTCCCACACCACCGAGGACTATCGCGGTACGTTCTCTTTCCACACGACCGAGAACGACCCCGGTACGCGCCCTTGTGCTACCGGGGTTTGCCTATCACATGTTGCATGGTTGACTGGTTCCGACCTTCGGCCAATCCCACACAGTCAAGAGTTATGCTGCGTTGGCTGGAAGCGGCGGTGGCCGCTGCGCCGCCCCGTCCTCCAACTGTGGGCCCGCGCTGCTGACGAAGCCGTGGCGGACCCGCGTTTCGAGTGAGCAGTCACGTCCGACCCAGGGCTTCACACGGCGCCGCCGACGCCGCCGGCGCCGCCGAGCGGGGGGCGCGAAACACGCGCAGCAAACAGACGCCGCACCCGGGCCGCGCCGCCCGGGTCACAGCCGCGATGCGGCCGTGACGCGGGTGACTGTGGGTGTTCGCGTTCCATTTGTGGCGCCGCTCCTGTGACAGCACGTGGCTGGCGCCAGGTGGCACCAGAGCCCTCTGTCTGCTGGCCGGCGGCGGGAGCTGCTGATCGGTCAGCGGCACCAGTGGATTGTCAGTGGGAAGGGAGATCACAGCCGGTCGGCCGCTTGCCGGACTGGGCCGGCTCCGTCCTAGCCATGCGTGGCCAGTGCGCTTGCCTGCAGTCGCCGGAACATCGCGGGTTAATCGGCGCTGACCGTCGCCGTGCACCGGCGGCGCCGTGTCCACGCTTCCGGTGACGTCAAGGCGGCCTGACCGCCGGTGGTGTGCGTCGGTGCGCCGCCCCAGCCGTCAGCCCACGTCGGCGGCGGCCGGCACCAACGGACCGCCACCGCCCCGGTCCGTGATGACGCCTGTCCGCCCGGCAGCGGCCGCCTGCTGCGACGGCAGCCAGCACACGGGTCGCCACGTGACGTCACTAGAGCTGCCGCTGCACGTGGACCAGGTGTTCACGCTGCTCTTCACCCACTCCGACTTCTCCGAGGCGTTCCATCGCGAGCGCAAGTATTACGGTGAGTGGGACACGGCCGGCCGGTGCCGGCGCTGGGAGGTGGGCGTGTCCCGCTGGGATGCGGTCTCCCGTTTGTCGTCCGTGTTTTACATTGGCGCTTGAATCAGCGGGGGGGGGGCTGATTAAGGTCCGTTCTGATGTTTTTGACGTGGTTTGCTTTGTCAGCCCCCCCCCCCCCCGCCCTCCCTCCTTCTCATCCCCCTCCGACCCGCATACACACGAGCGGAGGGGGTACTTCTGCAGGGTGACTGGGTTTATGGCTCTTTGAAGGACTACATCACTTGTGGCGTGCAGCAAAATGGCATGCACCGCTGGTGGAGCTGAGCTTTTTCCGGCGTTTTTTAACGTTTAGGCACGGTTGGCATTCCATTTTAGGTAAACCACAGCAGAACTTAACGCGATTTTAAAACACTCCGATCAAAGCGGACATCAAATAGCGACTGTTCTCATAAATAGAAATGCATTCGGCACAGGTCCCTGCGGTTGGCGGGGCCGGGGATGGACCTGAAGCCCAACCCGGGTGTGGCCTTTGTCGTTGTCAAGCCGAAAGCCTCGCGTTACGGGGGATGGAAGTGCTTTTTGGTCCGGTCTCGAGCCGGCATTTTTATCAACAATCGCTACGGGGCCTGTTGTGGCGGACTTGTTAAATGCATTGCGATCGGGCCAAAACGTAGATGATCGTCCCCCTCAGCTGGAAACGCGTCTCTCGGTGTTTGACACATTTACTGCATTCGGTATAAGGGAATCTTGCAAGTTCTTCTTGCATGCCTTTTATAATTTTGCGCTGACTTCCAGCCGTTCCGCACCGTGCAGCTAGCGTGTCAACCGTATGCGATGCGCATGCTCTTATCGAGTGCGATGTGTGTGTTTATTGTTAAAGTACCTGGCTACATAAGCTGCGTGGCCAGGAGCAGCTAGGTACTATCCACTTGTTGCTGCGTTCCACGATTGTGTAGTCACGATGAAGTGCATAAATTCGCAAAAAGGCTGGTGGAACTCAAGTCCACTTAAAGCCGTTAAAACTGGCGACGGAGCACGTACGAGCCTGATCAGCATAATCGCTTCACAATCGTGACGTGTCAGGGGACGTCAGCTCCCTGCTGTCTGCTGCTTTTACACTCTTTCGGATGTGATGCCGCACCTGCAAGCCGCAGCAGGCGGCCGGATAATGGCGAGAGCTGGCGCAGCGGCGGCCGGGTAGTGGTGAGAACTAGTGCAGCGGCGGCCGGGTGGTGGTGGGAGCCGGCGCAGCAGCGGCCGGATAGTGGTGAGAGCCGGCGCAGCGGTGGCCGGATAGTGGCGAGAGCTAGTGCAGCGGCGGCCGGATAGTGGTGAGAACTAGTGCAGCGGCGGCCGGGTGGTGGTGAGAGCCGGCGCAGCAGCGGCCGGGTAGTGGTGAGAGCCGGCGCAGCGGCGGCCGGACGGTGGCGAGAGCCGGCGTAGTGGCGGCCGGATAGTGGCGGGAGTTGGCGCAGCGGCGGCCGGTCGGGGCTCGCGACGCCGCCGACACGGGTCGTGGCCGTTAGCGCACCATCGCCGACGAGCCGCAGACCCCGGGTCAGGGACGGGCGTGACGCCGAGGGAGCCATGCGGCGCTCCCCCCTCTCCCTCCCCCTGACGGCGCCCCTGCGTGCAAGTTTCGAAAGCCTGTCCCGTGGGTCATGTCGGTCAGTTGTATGGGGACGTGGTCATACTGCGAGCGGTTGACGTAATGTGCACCAGGCGAGGTGGCAGCCGTCTGGTGGTGTCCCCGGTTTGCGGGGAGCTTCGGCCGGCGGCTGACCTTGGCTCCCGCTGGCCTCGCAGACGTGGTTGCCGGCGAGTGGCAGGATGGCGAGGGAGGCACCAAGGTGCGCAGCATCCGCTTCCAGCTGGACGTCAACCACCCGCTGGGGAAGACAACCACCGTCACTGAGGAGCAGGTGCGGCAGTGGGCGCCGCCGCTCGTGTGGGTCCGCCGCCGGTGCAGGCTGGAGGTCGGCCCCCGTGGCGCCCCGCCGCGACCTCTGTCGCGCTCGGGGCGACCCGCGCGTTTTGTGTGCTGGAGGCTGCTGCACTGCCCACATACAGTAGCCATGTTATTGTGTCGCCGTTTGGCGTATTCGTGCCGTTGCTGTGGGTTGATGATTATGCGTTGCTTATTCCTTGATGTTACAGTTGTATTGCTTGATGTTGATGTGTGGCTGAATCTTTATCCCGCCATATGACTGTCTGCTGACCTCGCCACGTGGCTGCCTGCTGATCTCATCATGCGATTGCTGACCCCGCCATGTGACTGTCTGCTGACCCCATCTTGTGATTGCTGACCCCGCCACGTGACTGCCTGCTGATCTCATCATGTGATTGCTGACCCCGCCATGTGACTGTCCGCTGACCCCATCTTGTGATTGCTGACCCCGCCATGTGACTGTCCGCTGACCCCATCTTGTGATTGCTGACCCCGCCATGTGACTGTCTGCTGACCCCATCTTGTGATTGCTGACCCCGCCATGTGACCGTCTGCTGACCCCATCTTGTGATTGCTGACCCCGCCATGTGACTGTCTGCTGACCCCATCTTGTGATTGCTGACCCCGCCACGTGACTGCCTGCTGATCTCATCATGTGATTGCTGACCCCGCCATGTGACTGTCCGCTGACCCCATCTTGTGATTGCTGACCCCGCCATGTGACTGTCCGCTGACCCCATCTTGTGATTGCTGACCCCGCCATGTGACTGTCCGCTGACCCCATCTTGTGATTGCTGACCCCGCCATGTGACTGTCCGCTGACCCCATCTTGTGATTGCTGACCCCGCCATGTGACTGTCCGCTGACCCCATCTTGTGATTGCTGACCCCGCCATGTGACTGTCTGCTGACCCCATCTTGTAATTGCTGACCCCGCCATGTGACCGTCTGCTGACCCCATCTTGTGATTGCTGACCCCGCCATGTGACCGTCTGCTGACCCCATCATGTGATTGCCGACCCCGCCATGTGACCGTCTGCTGCCCTTGCTGTCATGAGGCCCTGAGTTGATATCTGGCGCCGCGCGGCCAACAGACGATGCACCCCGTCAGCCAGGCGGGCTGCCTGTACGCCGTTGACTCTGAGGTCAACAACACGGGCGTGCCGATGGCGGAGGTGTTCTACATCATCAAACACTACTGTCTCATCAAGCTGTCCAGCCGCAAGACCCGCCTCAACATATGGTGCCAGACCAAGTTCAAAAAGTCCACCCTGTTCAAGGGTGAGAGTGGTGATCTCCTAGCGCGGCTCAGGAGGAATCCCAGTACCCCTGTGCGTGTCCTGTCATTGGATCAGCGCTCTTCAGCGGTACCCGTTTTTGGTCAGGCCTGTGACATAGCGTCGGGATGTGTGTGACTTCAGTCCACAGTCGTGCCGCGCGCCAGGAGAGCCCGGTCCGTGTGCTGCTGGTGCGTCGGTGAGGGCGCGCCGACGTCGTGTGCCAGGCGCAGCGGCTGCTGACATTCGCCGCCGGACGCAGGTGCGGCACCGAGCGCGCGCCGGGGTCACGAGCGCCTGGCGGCGGCCTCACACCCGATCCGGGCTCACCGCCTCCTGTCGTTCGCGTCCAGGCTTCATCGAGAAGACCTCCAACGACGGCATGGACGAGCACCACAGCGTGCTGAACCAGATGCTGCTGGAGACGACCGGCGAGGTCAGCAAGCACAAGCGGGCCAAGCGGCGGCGCGCCGGCAGCAAGGGCGGGGGCGCTGACCTGCTCAGCGACGGCCCGGCGACACTCAGCCCGCGCGGCGTGAAGGGTGAGCAGCGTCGTGAGGTGGGGGCGACGTGGGTGCTTCCTGCGTCCCGTTGCTTGCGGGGTGGTCCCCTGCGCGTGTGTTTCCTGGGCCTGCCCTGGCTCAGCGCCCTGCCAGCATCACGCAGTGCTGGAGCCGCGTGTCTCTCATGCGCACAGCAGCGGCGCGCAGCCAACTTGGACGGCCAGTGTTTGTGAGCTGATAGAGCGTGATCGCTGCTCTCACCATATCCTGACAATGAACTGGACTGGAGGTCTCTTCGGCTGCTGCCTCTCGCACCGCCCCGAGTGTCACTCGTGGCCGTGATCCGCTCTGGCGGCGCACCGGCCCGTCCGGTGCTCGGCCGGGCCCCCAGAGCCCGAACCCGGACCCCCGGAGCCCAAGCCCTGGCCCCCGGAGCCCGAACCTGGACCCCCGGAGCCCGAGCCCGGGCCCCCGGAACCCGAGCTCGGGCCCCCGGAACCGAGCTCCAGCCCCCGTAGCCTCAGCCCGGCCCCCGTAGCCCGGGCCCCAGAGCCTCAGTGCAGCCGTCTGGCGTGTCCGGCAGGCGGCGGCGCGCCCGGCGAGCTACGGCCGGCCGCCTCCGACCGGCTGCTGCTGCTCGTGCTCGGCTTCATGCTGGTGCTGGTGCTTATGAACGGCTACCTGTACCTGCGCATGTCGCGGCTCGGCGAGCAGACAGAAGCGTTCGCGCACCGGGAGCTGCTCGTGGCGCAGATCAAGTGAGCCGGGGCGGAGCGGGGCTCAGGTCAAGTGACCGAGGGCGGTGGAAGGGGAGGGGACGGCTAGCGGAGACGAACAAATCGAAAGGCAACTCTGACAACATGCCAACCGAAACCTTGTCTCCGGTCATAGAACGTGATTCGTACGTGAAAGTCGCCTTTGTCCGTCCCTTGCTGGCATATCGCCTGATCCCAGCGACCTCCGCATAGCAGGCCGCTATGATGTGGTTGTGGCGACTACACACCGTGCTTATGACCCGGCCAGTCGGACCGGGCCAGTGCGGAAGTGGCTGACGGTGACGCCTCGCCCCGCCACAGGGGCCGGCCGCGGAGTGTGGACGACTGTCTGCGGCTGGTGCAGCACCAGGAGCTGCTGCACCGCTCCGAGCTACACAAGTGGCAGCAGATCGTGCACTCGGTCACAGCACTGCTCAAGCAAAGCGAGACGGCGCTCGGCTCCCTGCAGGTAAGGGGCCGGCGGGGGACGCTCGGCTCGCTGGAGGCAAGGGGCCGGCAGGGGACGCTCAGCTCGCTGCAGGTAAGGGGCCGGCAGGGGACGGTCGGCGCGCTGCAGGTAAGGGGCCGGCGGGGGACGCCCGGCTCGCTGCAGGTAAGGGGCCGGCAGGGGACGCCCGGCTCTCTGCAGGTAAGTGGCCGGCAGGGGGCGCCCGGCTCGCTGCAGGTAAGGGGCCGGCAGGGGACGCTCGGCTCGCTGCAGGTGAGGGGCCGGCAGGGGACGGTCGGCTCGCTCGCTCGCCAGTGTTTGGTGGACGAGGAACGAGCTCTAGGGGTTGCGGTCTCTTCGTATTACACACGTGTCAGACATGAATACCGGATGGTTCCCCGTGTCATACATATGTCAAAGCACAGGCGGCCCATCAGCTGTTTCCCCGTAGTCAGGCACTGTGGAGGCGTGAAGGCTCGGCCGGAACCAGCTTGAATCGGCGCGGCGGGTTTAGTCAATGTACATCGTCGCCTTGGAGATGCCGCCGTCCGGACGCACTGTGTCGCCCTGACCCCGCGGCTGTGCGGCGGAGGACCGGCGCGCTGACACGACGCTTCGCTCGGCAGGCGACGCTGGAGTCCCACCGGGCGCGCGAGTGGCCGTCGCCGCCAGGTCCGGGTCCGGACGCGGCGGGTCCGGGTCCGGGTCCGGACACGGCCACCTGCGACTTGGGCCACAGCTGTCCGGTGGGCAGCTAGTGCGGCACCGACAGCAGGCCGCACCCGCAACCGACGCACCGACGGAGCGCCGACGCTCTCGGACGGCACCGCGCCGGCGGCGCTGCGCACCGCTGACCCGTGTCTGTGATAGCCTACTTACTCGGCGGGCTCCCAGGTCACACCGCTTCAGGGCACGTTCACGCGTGCGGTGCGAGTGTATCTGTTTGTCTGTCTGTCAGCCTGTCTGCCGCACTCGGCGGAGGACCGGCGCCCCCCGCACGCCCTGCCCGGCTAGTGATTGTTGTCTGGTTATAGGAGTTTTATCGAACGTTGGCTGGCGTACCTGGAAGTGGGCAATAATGCAGTTGCAACAGAGGAGATAGGATATCGCCGCAGGCTGCCTGCGGCGCCAGCTCGGCGAGTCACGCCTGATATGAAGCCGGTTTGGTCCGGAGGTTGGTGGAGCACGGCGGCGCACCCAGTTAGGAGTGACGCCGAAGACGTTGGACGTTACAGTCGTATTGGTACCTAGTACGCGCTGTTGGACCCACACGTCAGTATTGGTGCGCAGGCGCCGTCCCAAAGCGGGGTCGGTATCGGCCGGATGTCTGTATCATGTAAGTTACCAGCTGGTTGTCTGTGGCCGCTGGCGGTCTGTCGCCAGCTGTCCAGTCAGCTGCCGGCCGGTCAGATCGTCCTGGGTGGACCGTCGCCTGCCGTCGCGCGCCGACGAGCCGCAAGGACGACCGGCGGGGGTGCAGCGGCTGGGTGGCCGAACCCATCCCATCTGGTCTCCGCGCCGTTTTTTTCACGCGTCACAAAATCAATACGAGGTTCCTGTGTCTGTCCTCTGCCGTGTACTGTCGTCGGAGCCGGCGGCCGTCGCCAGGTCGCTTTTGCCGCCGGCGGCGCTGGCCTATGCGCCCCCTGCCCCTGTGCACACGCCGGCTCCGGTCGCCCCTCGCAAGGGACAGTCGGTCGCCGCCCGTGCCTCGTGTGCCCGTCTGCGCCGGGCGGACCCGCACGCCGGGTCACCAACCGGTCGTCGCGGGCTTCAGCCGCCCGACGCGCTCAGGAGGCCCGACGCGCCCTGGAGGCCCGACGCGCCCTGGAGGCCCGATGCGCCCTGGAGGCGCGATGCGTCCTGAGAGCTTGACGCGCCCTGGTGGCCGGTTTACCGGCCCCTGTGCCGCTGGCCGACGACACCCGCCACGCGTTGTATCCGCGCGTGGACGCGTAGTTGTGAGCCTGATCCCGTATAGGGCATGTAATAAATCATGTATGTCTTTGTGTGTGGTTCACATCGTACAACCGACGAGGTGGGCTACAGGCTGGGTCAAGTTTACAGGCCGAGGCATCGAGGAGTTCGGACGTGCGGCGTCCAACGCCACTAAATCACGACTGTCCGAACGGGCTGGGCCGGCCGTCTGTCGCTGCGGAAGATCTCGCCTGAATGCGAGCGGTCTGCTCAGAGGGCCGGGCTGCCGGACCACGGCTCAAGAACAACCTTGTATTTGGCTGGCAGGCGGCACATGGCTGTTAGCTTTGCAGATGCGAGCAGATGTACATCACCCAGGGCGCTACATGTGTTTAGAGAAACGTCTGAGAAGCTGTTCAACGTTGGATAACGGGGCGGTCGAAATATCAAAATAGTGTTAAATTTGGCACTCAAAACACACGCATGTTTCACAGATCCACGCTATTATGACGTAACACCGGTCCTTCCAGCCTGCGAAACACGCATCTCAGACACAAGGTACACCTGGCATAACTCCCGCCGCTGTCTTCCAACACGTGACTGACGAAGACCGCCAAACCGCAGGCGTCATCGAGGCAAAGCCGGGGCGAGGGCTTCGTCCATCGGCAGAGAGACACTTTAACACAAAGAGGTGCTTCATGTTGCTCGGGAGCGCGTGGCGCGGCGTTATTAATGAAGACACACGGCACGCCCGCTCAAGCCCGGTCAGTCCAGCTCGTCGGGACGCACCGGGTGCTTGAGAGGTATCATCGACTTCTTGCCCGGGTCCCGGGACAAGGCTTTCCTCATATCTGGCGACGGAGCCAGGCGGAAGCGGTTGTTAACGGCAATGTCGTGTCAGGCAGAACGGAGTCGTCGCACCGCGGTTGTCACATCCAAGCCAACGTTCACGGGAATAGAGGTACGCTTCTAAGCACGCGTGTAAAAAGATAGTTCTTTACCAAAAACATTCACGCCAAACAAAAAGCGACGTAAGTTTGTCACGTTCATGTTCATGTTCGTCGAACTGAAAAATTCATTTAGCACTGAAAAGCTTATCCCAGGTAGTTTTGACAATGCAATCCCAATTTAAAGTACGCAAATTGAAGTGTTGGCAAGGCTTACCGAATGCATCTTCGTCACCGGAATAATACTCCAGTACTCTGCGGTACACCACGTACCCCAACTTTCCGTACATGTCAATGGCCACCTTGTTGCTGACTCGAACAAACAAGTCGACAAAGTAGGCCCTCTTCCTGAGAAACGCAGGCAAAATTAGCCTCCCCGTCTGCCTCAACGTCAACAAAAAGCACGCTTGGTACACGTTTTGATCCACGAGCACAGCCATTGAAGCGCGAACTATCACCGCCTGCAACACCCGCCAACATCGGCTACACGTCACAACCTCCGGCCAGCGGCTTGCCGATCTCGGGCCGGCCACCACTCGCCTGCAGTGTACAACTACTCGCAAAGTTCGGAAAAGCTATCACATTTCCATAATTTTTCCACTTTGAAGAGCATTTCTGTTACTCTACAGGTACCAGAGCTACGAATGGTGACTTTACTGGATTGAACTCTACACCTCAACTTAAAGGCACCTAAAAACTGCAGGTTAAGGTCTCTTCCATGGCTAGGGTATATCTTGACTTAAGAATGGGGGAATCATTCTTCTGCCAGGGATTGCACTGCCTTCTCTCTGCAATTAGTGCGTCTCTTAGTCTGGCCCCTCGGTCCGTTTGTAAACTTGTCAGTGATACATTTCACATTTTACTTGACATATTTCACTTAAGTGCAGGGCTGCCATCCCATAGGGGTTTAGTGATCCTCCAGGGGCTCAACTCACCGCTCGGACACGTCCTCCAGGTAGTCCATCAGCTTGCGGGCCAGCCCCAGCCGGCGGAAGGTCGGCGCCACCGTCACAGCAGTCACGTGACCGTGCCACTGCTCGCCGTGCCCCTCCGTTTTGCCCATGACTGGCAAAGGGCAAACACACACTCAAGGATGCAGCACTGGGCTTCAGTGGTACAGGGATTGTTGCATGGCCATGGATTTGTGATGCACTTCTGCCTTTCAAATATGTGTCATTTTGACCATTTTGACCAGTGAAAGAAATGTGAGCATTCATTAATATGACATTTATGTCCAGCATTATGCAACACAAAAGTAAGTCATACATGTCATATAATGACAAATTGCCAGTCAGGTCAACAGTGGTTTGCTTACTCTTGGATATAATTTAAGATGCACATGTTTCACCGGACAGGGAAAAAGACAAGATTTGTAGTCTGATATAACCAGCGAGCATGTTGTTGCTAGTAATTTTTCATGACCTTTGGTGGCTTGAGCCACACACTGACAAGCTAATATGTGCTGAGCAAGTCACATCCCCTGAAAGCAAAGTGAAACTCCACCTAGCTAAGTACTCCCAAAATATGTTATACTTCATATATTTGGAGATTGAGGCTAGCGCTACAATGGTTCTATCTGCTGCCATCTGTGCGTATTACTAATAAGCAGCATCCAGAGGGAATGACATGCTGCAGGATTTCCTCCCTATACTCACTGTATCCCATGATCTGGCCACTGGCAGATTCTGCCACTTGCATATACTCTGGCCAATGGGCCATGTACTGCATATAGAATGACATCCCATACTGCACCAAAGTCAAGGCAATGCTATAAGTCACAGAAAACACATGCATGCCACTTCCCTCACTACCAAACATTATACACATCATGGGCAATTCCACAGGAATTTAGTGTCATTTGCAGGATTTTAGACATTTTGATGATTTCCCCATCTTCTTAGGAAATTGGGTAAGTGAGCCTGTGAGGAGAAATATGAACCTGTGAAACTGAGTAAAATAAAGTGAGGTGATAGGGGCAGGCATCTGGAGGTGTGACATCAGGGTTTACCATGGCATTACAATAGAGCAAGCAGCATAAGATTATTAAAGAGAGGAATGGCAAGTATATTCAGTCAGAAAAATAACAAAAATAATGAGAAAAGGAACAGAAAACACTCTGTGATATATATATATATATATATATATATATATATATATATATATATATATAAATGTATGTGTGTGTGTGTCTGTGTGTGTATACAATATGAACAGTAGATATTTAATCAATAACAAAACTAGATTCTTGATGGTCAAAATTAATTTCCATTCTCTTTAAAAACCACTTAGAACCTTATCATTAACTATTAAGATCTAAATATGCTGAAACTTCAAGACTTGAAAGGATACAGTCTCAGTCAGGGGATCCAGATTCCTGAAACAAAAGTCTGGATTAGATTTATGTTTACACCCATTTTACTGCCACACACATGCTATTTCCAAATGCATGCCAGTGGTGCAGAACTTTATACCTTAATTCAAACTGACCATGTGCATTTGGATAACCTAAACATACAATTAGGCTCTGCAGATGGTCACAGAAACAAAACCACATCATGGACAATTATATTCCTTTTAGCATTACATAAATGTTGCACATTCAATAAGACCTCCAGTAGCCTTGTTGCAGCATACACTCAAAATCCTGTCAAATCCAGCAAAGGAGCCCAGTGATCAGTGGCTCACTTGGACATCAAACACACAAAAGTGGGACCACATCCTGATGTTCAGTTTATATCATAAATACGGATCGAATATGAGGGTTAACTGTCACACAGTTTCTGAAAGCCACCCAAATGAACTTACACCAGGTTAAACTTGAACAAATCATCACAGGTCATTCGCCGGATTGTTGTCATTTTGAAGCCAGGTATAAACGTGAATACCAATGCACAATTGTTGCAGTGAGCCGCTCAGCTCTTTCTCTCTCACACGTCGACGACGCTCAATCCTATACCGTCGCCGGGAACAACACCACGGGTTTCACTAACATAAAACGCCTACTTGAGCATCATTCCAAATAACAATCGATTACGATGCCGCACCGGAGTCCGATGCAAGCACGGAGCCTTAGTGCAAGCACAAGAGATCAAAACTTTTAGTCTTATCACGTTCAGTAAATACTCCGATCGTCACGCGAAATTTGCCAACGACTGAGGTGAGGACCTATCTGCACTAATCACATTCGAAGCATCTACCCTATTCCAGCTGTATACGCAGGCATCGAACAGATGGAAATCTACTGGTTTTAGTCAGACGTAACGCGTATGAGACGAATGAGCAAATGCAGAGCTTGCTTTATGATGCGTTTTCGATTACGAGTGATCACGCAGGCGTCTTGTGTATTATGAGGTAGGCATTTTTTTCGGCGATGTAAAATATCTTTGTTGATGTAAACTAACATAAAACAGAGGAGAGTGTCAGATTTGCAGAAGCTGTATTCTCTTCTAACTTTCACACTGTTTAAACATTGCAACTATCCGAGGTGTTGGAAATGTATGAAACTATTTTATATAATTTGTTGAGTGTGATGCCAATGTTGAAAATTTGTCCTTTTCTCAGAGAGTATGGCGACCATATCATGCCGCATCAGCCAAGCCAGAGTCACGCTGCTCAGAGCTGGCAGCAGCATCAGGTCCTGCAGGTTTTCAAGCAGTCTAACCTCAGTACATGATGCTGAAGGTGTTCGTAACATCACCATGACTGCACCCAAGACAAGGAATGCTCTTTCTCTTGGCATGCTTCATGAATTGCAGGTACACTATAGCACACTGTGTTTTAAAATTTGTTTGTAAATATGAAGAGTTGGAATAGTTGCCACAAACTGGAACAAGTGCTGTTTTGAAATTTTGTGTGGGATGACCAAATGCTGCTGTTTGTCATCCAAACAGACACCAAATCATCAAATATTTCAATGCAATCTCAATGTCACAGCAAAGCTTTAACTGTACTATCCACAATGTCTGGGACTTGTGACCTGCACAAGTGAATCACTAATTTCTGTTTATCCCTATGCTTAGTTCCTCAGGTCCAGACTGACACCTTGTCTCTTTGCTCAGGAGCACATGATTAGACTGCCTGCTGAGATACGCTGTGTGGTACTGAGTGGCCAGGGCCCAGCCTTCTCTTCTGGTCACAACCTGAAGGAATTGACAAGTGCACGGGGCCGACAACACCACCAGCTGGTGTTTGAGACCTGCTCCCGGCTCATGCTTGACATGCAGGGTCTTGATGTGCCCATCATAGCACAGGTACTGGTTTTGGTGGACACTGATGTCTGACCTTGCTGTGGGGCTGGTCATGCTGTCAAGATCATTAGACTGAAACAGTATTTGTATCTACAAATCTTAACTGCCAGACTAGAGCTGGTGTTTACCTATGAGGGTTGCCTCTGTATTCTGGTGCTTTTCTTCTGTGAATCATGATGACTCATTGAAATAGGCAAGTAAATTATTTTTTAGGTCAATGTTCAAGAAAATCAGCAGATGTGTTCTGTTTATTTGTTGCTAAAAAGTGAGCAATGCACATTTATTTAATAATTGAACAGCAAGTTGAGCTACTGGTTATGCTATGGGACTGTAATGCTTCCTTGCCCCATCACAAAGATGGGGCATTTAAACTGAGACATTTAAACTGATACATTTAAGAACCATAAAGCTTTAATAAGGCAATGATGTGTGTACAGTATTTTGCTTGTTTTGAGCTGTTTTGGGGAAAATGATCATTTAATGTTTCAGGACAAATGAAACTGATTGAGCTGTTTAGCAGGCCTAGTTTCACTAACATGGGCAAGACATAAGTATTTCACCAACCATTCAAGGCTGAGGCTGACACTTGTGTCTTTCCAAAATGTTTTGCTTGGTTAAATGTTTTGTGGAGACCATATCTGCTCTGTATTGGGAACTCAAACAATGCACAAGCCCAGTGGTTGGGGCTACCATGATGCTTTGATGTCCCACCACTTCAGCCCTATGGGCTTGCATAGTTGCAGCCTGTGTCAGTGTGGTGCCAGAGTGACTGCACATGCTGGTCCCAGGAGCCCACCCCAACCCTGCAGTGACCTGCCACCGGACGCCGTCAGGTGGACGGCGTGGCGGCGGCGGCCGGCTGCCAGCTGGCCGCCTCGTGCGACATCGTGCTGGCCACGCCGCGCTCCAGCTTCTCGACGCCGGGCGGCAGCATCGGCCTCTTCTGCTCCACGCCGGGCATCGCCGTGTCGCGCGCCGTGCCGCGCCGCGTGGCCGCTCACCTGCTGCTGACCGGGCTGCCGATGAGCGGCGAGGAGGCGCTGCGCGCCGGCCTGGTCAGCCGGCTGGTGGAGCCCGAGCAGCTGCAGCGCGAGACGGCGCACACGGCCGCCGCCATCGTGCGCAAGAGTCGCGCCGTCATCGCGCTCGGCAAGCGGTTCTTCTACCAGCAGCTGGAGCTGCCGATTGAGGAGGCCTACCGACTGGGCAGCAAGGTCATGGTGGACAACATCGCGCTCTGCGACGGCCAGGAGGGAATCCGCAGCTTCATCGACAAGCGGGAGCCGACGTGGACCCACTCGCACGAGAAGGCGCACGACTGAGCGGGCTTTACGGGGGTGGGGTGGGGGGGGGGGGGGGGTATCGGGAACCGGGTTCGAGGTATGATTGAACAGGCTGTGGATGAAATATTGTCGCGGGTAAGGGGAATCCGGCAATAGTGGTTGCTGTATCTTAATGCCAACTTTATTTGCATGTTGAAGAGGTTGCTGATTCTAGAGTAGTGCCAATTATGAGATGGTTTGTATATCTAAAGGTTTTTATACCACGGTTTATCTACGTAAGTTAAGGGAATAGCTTGAGATGTGTTTGCCTGGCTCGTAGAAAGTAGTGGAGTTCTCCACAGTGGTCTGATGCTGGATTCCATCGCTTTTACTGTTGTCATGTGTCCCATAAGAAAGCCTTTATTCAGGTATCTTAAGACGGTCCCTTAAATAAGCAACATAGCATTTTTGGACGTGGTCGGTCGACGAAAGCCACCAAAAAATATTCAGCTGATCTGCCGGTCGAATCTTACCACAGACCTTATGCGTACCATGTTGCAGATATTGCCGTTTCAGTTGATGTAACAATATAATGGTCAGAACACAAGGCATCACGGTTGGTTGGAGTCTCGAGCCCCTGTTGTGCACACCAGAAGCTGGGCAGGAGGTAATAACTATCACTGGCTTTCGTTAGCCCGAAGCACCCACGACTGCTAGTACTCCTGCCGCGCCGGCTGCAGTCGCACGATAAGCACCAACACCAGCGTCCGAAGTCATAGAAAGTACTAGTAAAGAGGTCGCGCTGAAAGTCTCTGGTCAGGGAGGATCTACCCCTTTGGACGTCTTGGGAGGGACGACTCTTACTTGCTGAACGCAAGTCAGTTGTTTTCATTTCTTTCAGGCGTTAAGTTTTCGGTATTTTTTCTCCCCTCTAGTTGAAAAACGTTGCGCTTGCCTATCTTAATCATGCGCGCAAAATGACCTCCGATGTCAGCGCGCCCCTAAACTCAAATATCTCTGTCATGACTATGCAACGTCGCGATGTAAAACCCGTCGCACATGAAAAAATCGGAAAGAACCTAAAAGAAAAAGAAGGACTATCTTTGCCACTATAGAGAAGATTGGACGCCAATGGTCCAGGTTGACCGAGGCGGCGCCGCTACCGTCAACGACCGCCTACATTGGCCGATCTGCGTATGCCTCTGACGTGGTGGGGCTACGACAATTTCATCCAGGCTTTATGGTTATGTTTCTGTCCTCGCCGTCACCGATCGTAACTGCGCCTTTGGGTACGCATCGTGGCAGTGTGGCATCAGAGTTCACCGCCCTCCCCGGAGTCCTCGGCCTGGAGTCCAGCTTTGGCCTACATCGATGCGCTCCGAATGTCCGTGGTATCTGTTGACGGAACACGTAACCTAAAACGGCCTTGTCATGGAGTGATCGTCCTCATATATGAGCCGTCCGCAGGGGCGTAATTTTGTAGTCATTTTGGGGAGGGGGCGAAGAATTATGAAACTTACTCCCAGAATTCGCCGACAAACGGGTTTCTGCCCGGATTTGGCCCACTTCTCCCACAAACTTGGCGGGGGGGGGGGGGGACTGAAGCTGCCCGAACGCATAGGAAACTGCATCCCTGGTTCATTGAAAATGTCACCCATTGTCCGCGATTTTCAACCAACTTCCTCTGGTCACGATGCGAGAACCCGAGAGTGGGGAATTTGAGCCCTCGATCGGATACGTTTAAACAACGATCCGGCGCTTTGCAATGTTGAGACACTTAGTCTCGGTAAACTGTGACATCGTCACGTGCATTATTTCCAGAATGATTGACAACACAATTGTCCCTGGAGTAAAATCGTTGACGGCAATAAGCGATTAACTTGGCATTTTGGTGTGATGTGTAAAGTACTTGATATGTTACCGAATGCTGCTCATTAAATACATTCAGCTGGGCGGTTCATAAAATGCGCTGGGCTATAACTGCTCCCCCAGATCGTTCAAACGTGGCGCTAATGCGGTGCTTTATCGGAAGCGCATGGATTATTATATTCGGATATAGTAAGCGAGCACCACTCTCATTGATTTCTGAAGAAGTCCCCCATATATTCTTGGTGCTTTGTGTAGCTTGTAAGCCAGGTAGATAGCGAGTTGAATGTGGGCAAGGTTGTAGGTAATCAGTTTAGATTTCAAACTAGGGCTCAGTTTAGGTTTGTTTCTAAGGCAAAGCAAGCACCATGTACACTCCTCAAGTTTCATCAGTGTCCTGGGACTCATTTTCTGCCAGAGCATCCCCAAGAGCATCTGGGAAAAAGTCCAAGTCTGCCATCAAAACTCCAGGATTACTTCGCTCATCGTTCACTGCCAGGTATTTATGACACTTATTTGATTCATTCAGTAATGTGTAGATGCATTCCGCCAGCTCCGGACAATTGGACAGACAGAGGTAAATGTATTCTGTGCATCAGTGTTAGCATGTCATTTCCATCACTATTGAAATATGTGGAAAGGGAACTGATGTTGGTCCTCACTTATGATTAAGTTAATGATAACTCAAGACTAGGGTAACTAACCCTGCTGCCCATGTGGATTTTATCATATAATAGTTTGGTTGGAGTATTGCTAAATAGGATCAGATTTTGAACTTATTGTAAGGATATGACCAAACCAATCTATACTAGAGATTCCCAGCTGGGATACTACATGTTAGTTAGGAATCAGATTGTGTTTTTGATCAGCATTATGTGGACTGTATCTGCCACTTATTGCATTCAAAGACTGGCTTGTAACACATCACATCAGTAGAACATATTGTAGGTGGGTTTAGCTTTGCCAAAAGCAGGGTGCAGGGATACTGTATGTAAGCTTTGTTTCTGGCTCATTATGTATGAATGTTTTTATGACATGTGGATGTTATGGTGCCAGTGATGAAGCATGTTCAACTGTGACTTGAGGATATGTCTTAGTTGTAACCCACTCGCCTAACTGCAGATTCCTGCAGTCACTACTTGTTTCCAATAACTGTTTGTTTTCAGCCCTGGCCTTCATGCATCCAGGATAGTGGAAGAAACTCCAGAATATATTTTAGAGTCATTGGGACCACCTCTTCCAGTCTTGGTTACTGAAGTTCTTGCTTCATCTGATAGTAAGTATACTATTTTAAGAAAAGGGATATAATTTAAAATTCATTTTTGTATTTTGTTACTGCTCATACTTGGTCCAAATACATTTAAAACACATCTGACATTACCATATTTTCATGTAATTCTGGGTGCAATATCCTGTTTTAGCTGACATATGTAACAAAGTTTAAGTTAAGGATTGTGTGTTGCATTGGTTTATATGACCTTAGTACTCATTTTGGTAATTGCTATGTACCTTGCATGAAAAACTAAGCTTTCCAGCTACTGGTATAGTATGCATGCACAGGAAGGCTACCCATAACAGTGTAAGGTCTAAAGTATTTGTGTTTGATTGACATTTATATGTATATGTATAATGTTTATATAGCAGATCTATAATGTGACTATGTGATATGGTTGCTATGCTGGGATAGTCTGCCAACTGCATTGAGCAAACAGAAATCACATCATCATAACATGGCAAGGAAACTGCTGTCTGAGGCAGTATCATGACATTTGTTGCACAATGCAAGTTCTACACCATCATAGGGTTCATGGGCTATGGCCAGTGCATCCAACAGCATGGACCTTTGGGTGGCAGAGTCAATGTCCAGGAATAAATCCATTTTCAGGAAGGGGCAGAATCCTGATTGGGCAATGTCTTGATATCCCATGTCTGGTGTCGCTGACGCGCGCCCGCCGCGTCTGGTCCGGCAGGAGGGGGCGAGGTGAGCGCCCAGGTGTCGGAGCGCGGCTGGTGCTGGCTAGTATGCGGCCGCCGGCTGCTGGTGTGGCGGCTCAGCGGCGCCGACGGGCCGCGGCGCGTGGCGTTCTGCCGCGAGCTCACGCTGCCGCCCAGCGACCTGGCGCACAGGGCCGAGCTGGTCCAGGTGAGAGCTGGCGCCGGCGTCCTGGCTGGGAGCTGGACTATGTCCGGGAAGATTATCATCACCAGTGAACTGAAGGCCGTGTCACGACCCTCAGGTCACCGTCCTCCATGCAGTAGCTGAGGGTGGTCTAGTGATCACGGAGCTGCTTGCAGGGTATGATCGTCGCATGTCCTCATCCGTGAGCTCTCGTGTCACGTGGCATTCTGTTTGGTTTTCGGCACGCGTCTGTACATCGCCACCCTTGCTGCATTGCACTCGTTGCACTCTTCACCTGTTAAAGATCATGGTGCAGCTGCTCTGGATTGTTCTGTGGCACTTGCAGCTGCTGTTTGTTCGCAGGTGCTGGGCGGCTCGGAGACCCACGTGCCGTGCTGCCTGGCCGTCTCGCCTGAGGGCACGCTCCGATTCTGGCCCAGCGTCATCTACGAGAGCTCCAGCATTGAGAGCAGTGCCGACCTACAGGTGAGTGGAGCACGCGTGCGCCGTCACGCGTGGAGGGCGGGACGTCACAGAGGTGGCGCGGCCGGCGCATGTGCTCAGATGAGACGTGTAGTTCGTGGTTGGTTGCGCAATTCGGAAATGGAATCTAGGTCTTGGAAACGTCTGCCGCATTTTAAAGTGATGGGCTTTGGAAGGGGCATGGTGCGTGTGGTGGGGTGTTTTGTTGAATGTACCGTGCTTGTTTTTTGCTCACTTGCGGTCGTCGGAAAATCCGCATGCGTGGTTCGATTAAAAGATTGTGAGGTTTGATGGCTGGGTAACGCTGGCCTGACTCTGGCGAGACCGAACGCCCCTCCAAGTCCCACGCCGCAGAGTAAGCCACTATCGTCACACGTCATGGGCGGCGTGGTTACCGCCTGTCACGTCCTATGTATCGCGCGTCCGCCACGTGCATCACCCGTCTGTCGCGTAGTCTGTCAGGCGTCATCGCCTGCCACCTGTCTGTCACCCGTCTGCCTGCCTGTGTCTGTCTGTCTGTCTGCCTGTCACCCGCCTGCCACCCGTCCGTCATCCGTCTGTCATCCGTCTGTCACCTGTGCCTCCGCCACCCCCGCCAGGGCCAGGAGTGCGAGCGGCTGGTGTCGCTGGGCGAGGCCGGCTGCCTGCTGGCCACCACCACCTCCACGCTGGTGCTGGTAACGTGGGAAGGTGGACTGGCCTGCCGCCGCCTGGCGCCGCCGGCCGGCCTGCTCGGCGGCATTGGACGCCGCGTCTCGTCGCTCATCTGGGGCGCCATGCAGGCGGCAGGCTCGGAGGAGGTGAGCGCGCGCCCGCCACGCCCGTCCCAGCGTCGGGGCGCGGCCGACGCGCAGCGCCGACTGATACACACCGCCGCCGGGGGCTGTGCTGGTTTCTGTGTGTTTTTAGGGCGTTGTCATGCTATGGATCGTGCTTGTAATTTCCTGAAGTGTCACTGTCGGTTTAGCGTGCTGCGTAAGCCGGGCCTTGTGCGCTAAGGTTGTTCGATTCGAGGTAGATAAAGCTTGATCGTTTTGGCGCCAAACGAACGCAGACGTCGGCACTCCCCAAAACCTCGACTATCATCATCAAGCCTCGCCATTTATCGCCACCTTGGTGATGTGTTGTAGGGAGGGCTCCGTGGGCTGACGCAGCGCCCTGGCGTGACCTCCCATGCCAGCCGTGGCACGGACCAGGTCGGAAACTGTCTGAAACAGCACCCAATCTCTGCGGTACGGCCGCATCAGTCGTCGGCGCCGCTGAGGTGGCGCCGGTGACAGCCGGCTGGCTGTGCTGCTGCTGTATGTGACCGGGTCGGTGAGGGCCGGCTGGCTGTGCTACACTGTGTGTGACCAGGTCGATGTGGGCCGCCAGCCGCTGGTGTCACTGTGTGCCGCGCCGCCTGAGGAGGGCGCCGACGCGCCGGCCGGTCGCACGGTGTTCGTGTTGACGGCGCGGCACCTGCAGCGTTGGTGGGTGGATGCCGCCAGCGATGCCGACCGCATGGATGCACAGACCGACCTCGTCCGCTTGGCGCGCGACCGCCTCCTGCAGGCCGACTTGGTCAGTAGCCGGCACGCGGCGGGGCGAGGTCGGGACCCGCCGCCGCACCGTGCTAACGGGCTGGCCGGGCGGCCGCAAAACAGGTCATGGCTACTGACAGTTTCCTTAAGAAATAGTGCGTTGTGCCAGTCGCCTGGCACGATTTATTAACAGACATGCCAATGCCTGTGTTGTCCTGTGGACAACTGGACATTGACCACGTACCGTTCCCAAACCAACGTACGTAAAACCTATGTTAAGAGGGCTGGAATCATGGAATTCTTGCTGTAGTTATATATGTGTGGAGTGGCAGCCAGTTCGCGTTCGTGATATATTTGTAATTGTCAGCCCATCTTTTCGCTCCGTCGCTTTTAGGACACGGCATTTTCGAATATTTGTTCTCACGTTTGCCGCGTGGAAACTGTACCCGCTAAATCACAGCTTTACCGCTTAATACCATGGGGTCAGAGCGCTGTATGCCGAACACAAGTTGCATCAGTGGCAATACTCTCGTTTCTCTGCCTGTGTGGGTTTTAAAATGTGTCTGTGACACATGCCACTAACTGATTAAGTAACTGAAAGGCGCGCGGGGCGCTAGTCGTTCTGTTGTTCACGTCAAGTATGTGTTTCTGGCGAGGTTGCTCTCTGCTTATGCAGCTTGTGCTTGGCCAAGCGCTTGTCACACCACTCGCCGGAACCAGCCGCTGTGCGCTGCGCACTGAGCTCGTGCTCAGACGTGACGGTGTCACGCTCGGTTACAGAGTCGTGAGACCAGCAGTGCCGACCAGCTGAAGGTGACGCTCCGTGACCTCTGTGTCACGCGCCACGGCGTCCTGGTGCTCATCACGGCCCAAGACCCGCCGCCGTCCGGTGCCACGCTCCTCGCTCTGGGTGAGGCCATACTCTGCTCTGGGCGAGGTCACGCTTCTTGCTCTGGGTGAGGTCATGCTCCTCGCTCTGGGTGAGGTCATGCTCCTCGCGTGATGTCACGCTCCTCGCTCTGAGGTCACGCTCCTTGCGTGATGTCACGCTCCTCGCTCTGGGGTCACGCTCCTCACTTTGGGCGAGGTCACGCTCCTCGCCCTGTGTGAGGTCGCGCTCCCCGCGCTGTGTGAGGTCACGATTCTCGCTCTGTGTGAGGTCACGCTCCTCGCTCTGAGGTCACGCTCCTTGCGTGATGTCACGCTCCTCGCTCTGGGGTCACGCTCCTCACTTTGGGCGAGGTCACGCTCCTCGCCCTGTGTGAGGTCGCGCTCCTCGCTCTGTGTGAGGTCACGATTCTCGCTCTGTGTGAGGTCACGCTCCTTGCTCTGGGCGAGGTCAAGATCCTCGCTCTGTGTGAGGTCACGATCCTCGCTCTGTGAGGTCACGATCCTTGCTCTGTGCGAGGTCACGCGCCGCCGCGCGGGCTCCTACCCGGCAGCCAAGCGGCGTCGCACCGCAGAACAATCCAGGCTCATACCGATACTCAGCAGGAGATGGACAAGTATCCAGAAAACAGGCGGACGATGCTCCGTGACTGGGTCAACCACGAACCTAAACGCAAGGGTGACAAGGCTTAAGAGCATCGTGTGCGAAAAGGGCGCAGCGCACTGAGATCACTGCTGCCGTACCAACTCTACCACGAAGCATTTCATTGTAGACGGCCTGGATTTGTCTTGGACAAATCTCTTCGGGAGTAAATAGGGAGCGAGGTCATTTTAAAATGCCCATCTCAATAGTTGATCCCGAGAGATATTCGTCCGGTGCGCCTAGCTCATCAAAACATGGCAAAAATCGCAAATAGGAGATATTCATGTTTTCTTACAAAACAACAGATTGTGCACACAATGCCAGTAATAGCACTTGGCAGAAGCGAATTCAGAGGCTAGCGTTAGACAAATTGTGGCGACCACGTCGCTCGAACCAGCTGCAATACCAATGTTTGGTACGCCTGGGTACTGTTTTTTCGTCAACAAATGCATGCTGTTGGGTCAGAAATATAGATATATGACGAGCTGAGATATGCCGTTGACACAGTGCGATTTTGAAGTGAATAATGGTGGACAAACATTCCTCAACAATATGTGAACTCGGAATCATTGCTTCTGATCACGTGGCGATCCCACGGCCTGTATCTACGAGCTACACAGATCAGATAGAAAAAAAAACACATTGGCCGCTTTTCAACATATGGCATGCCAAACACTCACAGAATAAGCATAGCGACTTACGCATTCACTCGCGCCACCGGCCGCTCCCACAGCAGCAGCAGTAGCGTGTGTCCCGTGCTGCGGCACTCCAGCAGCACGTATCAGACGTTTCAGTTCAGTGTCTCTCCCTTCGTCACACGCGCCTCGAGGTACTCGATCTTCCGCTCCAGCTTGGTGAGCTTTTCGTTGAGCACGGCTAGCCGAGACTTGCAGGACAGGTCGAATGAGTTGAGGAACTCCGCGATCTTCTTGATGCTGTTGGTGATGACCTCAATGTACTCGCGGTTGGCCCAGTCCTGCTGGATCTGCATCTGTATCGCCTCGCGGTGGTTTGTGGCCATCCTCTGAAGGTCAGGGCAATATGACGGGGCATTGTCAATGCTCGCTGCGTTGGTTCACAAAATATGATCCCCACACACTCTGTTATATCTGAAAGTCGCGCTCACGAACGCCAGAACATGTTTGCCTCAAAATTATCTTGTTCATGCATGGCTAAATCCCAGGCAAAGCCTTTTTATGCCAAGTTGGTTGTCTAGTGAAGCCTGGCTAGCTGAAACAATACTTATAGATGACTACTGCCATGCCACAGATTTACCACACCAGCCCTGATCTAACATGTGCCCTGGTGGCTGGTTGAATACCCTTTGCTTGGGTGGGGGTCAATTCTCCCCCTCCCCCCCCCCCATAATGTCTCAGAAACAAGAGAGCCAGAAGCACCAAATTCACAGGGTGTGTTGGCCAGAATGTGAACTCACTTATTTCAAAGTTTGGAGTTCATAGGGTGTGTTCTTCAGGTCAAATGAAGTCAAGTAAGTTCACACTCCAGGTTGGTGTCCAAAGTGTCCCCAGAACTCAGATACCTGTTCTGGGAAAAGGCCACTGGTGCTCACTTAAGGTCAATGACCTTTTTGACCTTTGCAGGTCATGGTGACTAAAACCATACAAGACTGTTTTGAGTTTGGTGTGGCCATGTCACACTATTCAGAAATTATTCTTGAAAACCCCTTGGGGGGTCAAATTTATCCCCCACCTCTTTTGAGTGCATGTTCATGGAATGCATCATTATTCCCACTCAGAGTGGAGAGATATGAAGGCTGCTTGGGCTGATGATTTTTTCAGTATTTCTGATCACAGTCAAACTCAACTCATGCCATGCTGTATGTTAACATGTGGGGGTCACTTTGACCCCCCTGCCTGAGCATGTGTTAATAGAACACTACTACATCACACCACTCAATTGCATGTCATGTGTCACAAAAGCCAGTTTGTTGTTACTGTTCAAACCTGTAAAAACACCAAGATACCATTGGTTGGACAGAGTCAGTATCCAAACAGTACCAGGTGCAATTTTTCTGCAAATTTTACTTCAATGAGTCTGGCTATTCCTACTGGGAGTTGAAATGAAGTGGTATATATTTATTAAACCTGATTCCACTGGCACTAGTAATCTGTCGCTGTTTATTTGGGGCTGCCACTATAAATCATCAGTCAAATTCATGGCAGTCATGTTTCATGTATGTACCAGCCTCTGGCACCATTTTGTGAGGAAATTGTACTTCCTCAGCATCAGTGGTCACAGCTAGGTTGATGAAGTTTTGAAGACAGGCATGTGGATATAGGTGATTGTGATATGAAGTATAGCTTGGCAGTGAGATGCAAATCTATGGAGGATGTTAATGTATGAATACACAATATATGGCTCAAGGCTGGTTTTCTGGTTTTATGTCTGTGGTTAGTTTTTCAGGTGATATATGTTAATAACTTGTGTTGAAGCCCAGAGTAGTATCTCATGCTATCAATTAAGCCTTAGTTAAGGCATGAACATTTATCTCTTCATTTATTTGCATGCTGATTATCCCAATTTACTTGGTTTTTGTGTGACCAAATGTTAAATGCTCACTTTCATCTTGTGAACAGCAATATGTTTAATGGCATATATTCTCTTGATGGCAAGCTCAGTTTTATATTTACAGTCATAATCATCATGTCACATATCCAGAATTCTGATTTTTTCCAGCTTAAGGTGTTTAATCAGATGCATTCTCCATTGAAAACTTACCTTATCTTGAGACTAGCTCCCGGACTGACAGGAACCCCTCACCCCTCAGATGCCTGTTTTGACTTATATTGTGTGCAATGCAGTCCCGTGGGTTTCTTGCCAACTTCCGTATACCCCCACCTGATTTAACTGGTGACTCGGCGTCTAACCGCACAGTGGGGTGACAGTTGATGATTTCGCCCGCCCTTGTGTTCTTAATTACAATAATGGCGCGGTGTAGACGATACCTTCAAGAACTGGAGCTAAAAGACTGCAAGAATTTGCTTTGTTTAGTTTCGTACGATTGTTTAATAATCAGTCGTGAAATTGATGGCTTTTCCTTTTAACTCAATTGATCTTCTGGTTTTCGTTTCCCAGAAACCAAATTTCATATACAGGCTGCGTTTTATATCAACGGTTTATTGTCATTCAGTTGTGCACCCGTGGTGAAGTAAGGTGGTCCGCCAACAGTTTTCCAATTGTATTTTGGCTCAAAGGAATGATGGTGCTTATTTTAGAAAGCACCATCCTAGAAACTCACATCAAAGAAACTCACACATCCTAAACAGCCGAAATTCTACCACTGTCTCACTTTGTTGTAGGCTGTAGCACCATGAAATAAAACAGTTTTTTAAAAGTTTCGGTAAGTGGTGCTTTTCGAGAAAGTCCTGACTCCTTTAATCCCTTTGTGCAATCCAGGCAGCGAAGCAAGTTGGTGGCCAAAGTTAGGCGTGTCGCAATGCTTGACACGGCCGTCCTGCCCTTTGACGTGATCCGACCTTCCTGGCAGCCGCTCCCACCGGCCGCATGCCATGCCTATTACGGGCAAATAGCGAGCAAATGAAACGACTTGTACCTACCCCGCCACGGTTATGTTGATCGGAAGGCGGGCACTCGTACCCATTAACCTATCAGACCGGAAAAATCCTCAAGAGTCAAAATAAAAATGACTCCGAATAATTTTTGAGCGTGCGTAGTTCTTTTGTGTAAGTTATTTCACACCCCGGGTTGGTGAAAAGCTGGAAGTGTGTTCACTTTCAGCTCTGTTTTATCTGCACTTCCTCGCTCTGATCGCCGTCCCTGCCCCTCTAATGAACAAAGTGTTGCTGGAAATTTGAAGTGTGAACTGGAAAGTGGAGAGTGGATGTGTAATACAAACTAATTCCTTTGCCTTTCGCATTGCGAAGCACCCACCACATGTCGGGGGCAGCAGTTGGCTGTGCTGCACCGCTGTACTGTCTCACGGACCGAACTGTGTGTGGCCGAGCTGGACTCCGACGGTGCTCGGACAGGTGCAGTGGATGACGTCAGCGCCGGCGGTGCGGCCCATTGGTCGTGGTTCGATGTCATCCCTCACACGCCCAGCGGCGACGAGTGTGCCGCCGAGCTGAGGATGCTGGCTGCCGGCGACAGGGTGTTCATCCACGACCGCCGCCAAATACTATGCGTCAACAGTGAGTGCCGTCCATAACAGATGCCGGCTCACAGGTTTTCGGTTTGTGGTGCTGAACGGCATGTGCCGATGTGGCAGTTTCAGTGCTCTTTGATGTGTGTGCCGACAGTCAGAAATGTTGACCGCGGCTGCTGGGCTACGTGTCCAATCTGATGGTTGTGGCGTTTGTTGGTGTTTGACCATGCTAGGGAAGCGGTGCTGGTTAACCGTCCATCGCTGCCCATCCATGCATCCACGTCCAGCTGTTGCCGGTTGGCCGCGATGCTGGTGCGTGTGCCCTGCCACTGACGGCGTTGGACCCTGTGCGTGTGTCTTGCAGTGGCGCCGGCGTCGGAGCTGAAGGACGCCGTCCGGCTGTCGCCTCCCGGGGAGCGCATCATCGGCTGGGGCCTGGGCGCCGACGCGGCCCCGCTCGTGCTCACCAGCCACCCGGGCCTGCTCCGACTGACGGCTCGCACCGCACCCGGCGCCGACCACAGTCAGACGTGCGTCGCGCACTGACTACGCGTCACGTCACGTGGTGACGCCGCAGACGCGTCACGCGGTGACGCCGCGCTACGCGCCACACGCTTACCCTGTGCTAGACGAGCTACGCTCACCCTGCGCCAGACGCGTTTCACGCTCAACCCGGTAGACCGTCACAGCGCCCACCCCGCGCTAGACGGGCCACACGCTCACCGTCTGCCAGACTCGCCGCCGCTCCCACTGCGCTAGACGGCCACACGCTCACCTCGTGCAAGACGCGTCGCACGCTCACCCTGCGCCAGACGCGTCACACACTCACCCCGCGCTAGACGCGTCACGCGCGACGCCAGCCGGTGTCGGTCAGGCGTACGCCACTGACGGCTTTCCGCAGCTGCCAGTTACGCAGGCGGCTGTTTTCGTGTAGCTAATAGGCGCCGCGGCAGCAGTATGCGTTGGACTTAAGCGGGGATCGACATTCTTCAATTGATGTCACATTCACCAGTCGGGTTTGTGTTGCCACTGCTTGCCGCAGTGTTATGTTAACTGATCGGAAATTTCGAGTTTGCATATTGATTTTATATAAATGCCATTAGAATGTGTAGCTTACTCTTTCGTTTTGGAGATGTGCTGTCACAGTATGGACCACCATGCGTTTTCGTCGTAACTGCTCATACCGCACTGTCGCTTGACTTCAGGATGAATCTGTCGCTGCTGGGTCTGGATCAGACGGCGCCGCTGTCCCAGTCCTTCAACGTGTCCTTGACCCAGGTCGACCTGGAAGAGCTGCTGACATCCAGCTCGGATGTCAAAGCCAAACTGCGTGCTGCCTGCATTCTCTTCTGCAAAAACGATTTGGTGAGTGTTGCCGCAGAGCAGGGTGAGCTTGCATCGATCTTGCAGAGTGTGGCTGTCTCGACGAGTGGTTTCAGGGTGCGCGTGGTGATCGTAGAATGCTTAACCGCTATTTTTGTCAGAGAGAGAGAGAGAGAGAGAGAGAGAGAGAGAGAGAGAGAGAGAGAGAGAGAGAGAGAGAGAGAGAGAGAGAGAGGGAGAGAGGGAGAGAGGGAGAGAGGGAGAGAGGGAGAGAGGGAGAGAGGGAGACAGAGACAGAGACAGAGACAGAGACAGAGACAGAGACAGAGACAGAGACAGAGACACAGACAGAGACACAGACACAGAGAGACCATATATTCTCGTAGGATTTGACAGTCGACGGTGCTGAACCTGGGTATAATTCTGAGTAAATGGTGATGGTCATGGTAAATATTTGGCGAACGGCGAAAGCCATGTGCAGCAGCGCCAGGCAATTTCGAGTTTGTTGCATTATGTAGCACGTTATGTCTGCAAACTTTCAGCAGCCATTGTTTCAGTTGGTTCTGTGCGGGATCTTGGAAAATCTATCTCACTTGCGCACGGGATTGTCGTGATTCACTGTGACATAAAAGCTTTAGAGGCGGTTTTCTTTAGGTAGGTTCCGATTAGGACCAAATGCGGCAACACTGGTTCGGTCGGGAGCTGTGCCGCCGGTCACGATTGTGCTACGTTGCCGGGCTGGTGACGGCGCCCGTGCCGCCGGCAGCCGCGGTACAGCGCGCTGGTGGAGGAGCTGTTCCCGCGGAGTGCGGCGGTCGGGCCGGACTCGGAGCTGGACCTGACGGTGGTGGCGCTCAGCCGCGACATCATCGACGACTACCCAGCCGCCGACCCGCGGTGGGCCGAGGCGGCAGCACGCGGTCAGTGACGGCCCGGCGTCGGTGCACTGCCACACACACACACACACATGTACGCACGCACGCACGCACGCGCGCACGCACACACGCACGCACGCACGCACGCACGCACGCGCGCACGCACACACGCACGCACGTACGTACGCACGCACGCAGGTGGGGGCGCCACACTACCACACACACGGGGCAGGGGACGCCTCAGTGCCACACACATACAGAGTAGGGAAGGGCGCACTGCTGCCATACAGAAGGTAGTGGGTAAACACAAGGTAAACACAAGGTAAGGGCCACACCGCCACACACAGAGAATAGGGGGAGTGCCCCACTGGCACACACATGGCAGGGGTCACAGTACCACATACACATGATGGGGGGGGGGGAGAGTGCCACACACGCAGGGCAGGTGGACACCATACCATCACACACAATGCCTGTCTTTTTCTCTGGCGAGTGCAGGGACGCTGGGAAGCGCCGCTGGGTCTCGAGCTCACTTGCTGGGGGTGAAGTGGTGTTTACAGTGATCGGTGATCCCGACGGAGTGGTGGGCCTCAAGCTCAGTCGTCTCCTCGTGGTAGGGTGACGGCGAGAGTGGGACCTCTGGCTAGCCCGCCACAGACTGCTCCAAGGTAGTCAGCTGGGACCAGTCTGCCTCAGACGAATGGAGGGCGTACAGGTACGGCGGTGTGTTTCTCGCCGAGAAGTGTCAGACGCCGTCTTGCGGATGCCCCCGCTGCTGACGACGAGGACGTCCGTCTTGCTGCCGGCGAGGGGGAGGGGATGGTAACCGGCGCCCGCCTCTGTCGTCAGACGCGACCGTGTCATCAACCACCTCGCTGATCCTGCTGCACCAACTGGACGATAAGCGTGAGGCGCACCGTCTCTACGTGGCCTTCCTGAAGGCGGCCGGTCTCTGGGACCGGGTGAGGCACGCCGGCTGTGGCGGACGCCTGTCGGCGCGGCCAGCTCCGGCCGCTGAGGCACCGCCGCCGCTGCCGCGTCCGTCGTGCGGCCTGGTGTGGGCGTGCGCCCGTGGTCTGTGGTGCCGGGTGTGATTTTCGCGTCAACAGAGAATCGGGCGCGTTTTGGATGGTGCTAGGCTGGTGTGACTCTGGGGGCAATATGGTGTACTTTTAGGAACACTGTGTATCTTGGAGTACCACCGCTCATCATGTGGCGTGCCATGTGGGAAGTTTGAAAACTCGCTGCGTCTAGTTCTGTTTGCTCAGAAAGGTTCGATTTCATCTGTTTCTATGCAGTGCCGCTTGATCCGTGCCAGTGGATATAGGACTCGTGGAGCTAACCGGCGTCTTTTCCAGCTGACCAGTGTTACCGACCGAGATGCAGTGGTGACCACGACGGAGCTGTTGCACGAGCACCACGAGAAGGTGCTGTCAGCCATGGCGCTCGCCAACGTGTCACCTCAGTGAGTCTCACTGGCACGACAAAGTTTCGGCACTTGTGGCAATTACCCAATCACCTTGTAGGTTTTCTAGCTTCCATTTTCAACCAGTGTTCTCCAGACTGGCTTTAGTCGGTGGAGTAGTGAACGTGGGGTGCTGGGGTGCATTGGTGACCTGACGTGCCATGTGTTGTTCCAGGCTGAGTGGGGTAGTGAACGTGGGGTGCTTGGGGTGCATCAGTGATCTGACGTGCTGTGTGTTGCTCCAGGCTGAATGAGGTGGTGTACTGGGGTGCATCGGTGACCTGACGTGCTGAATGTTGCTCCAGGCGTAGTGAGGTGGGGTGCTGGAGTGCATCGGTGACCTGACGTGCTGTGTGCTGCTCCAGGCTGAGTAAGGTGGGGTGCTGGGGTGCATCAGTGACCTGACGTGCCGTGTGTTGCTCCAGGCTGAGTGAGGTGGTGAGTGCAGCCGTGACCCGAGTGGTGGAGGAGCGTGGGGAGCTGCCCCTGCGACCTCTGACTGCCCGCGACGTCTTCTTCTGTCATCTTTCGGCCGTGGACGACATCATTAGTGCGCTGATCGGCCGCGAGGAGGAGCTGATGACGTCAGGGGCCACTGCGAACGAAGTGGTCCGGCTGGTAGCTGAGACCAACAGCGTAATAGTGGTGAGGCTCACCAGCTGACGGTCTGGGCTCGGTATAATTTTTCTTCTGCGCCTTGTGTGTCCCTCCAGGCAGTGACAAGCAATGTTGTGTGTTGTCATTGCTCAGGCAGGAACAAATAATTTGCTGTTTGCAGTATCATCCGAAATTCGCCTCATTGGGTTTAGTTTGGCTCCAACTTTTCATTCCACATTGAACACATAGGCTCCACAATCTCCTGGTGGTTATTTTGTCCAGACCCATCCGGAGATACCCTGACGTTCTCTAACGCCGTGTTATAGCGGATGCTGACGGCGGCGGCGGCCGTGCTGGACGAGCTGGAGCCGGAGCCGCCGGCGGACGCCGCACGCGAGCGCCAGCCGCGGGGCTCGGCCGGCGTGGCGCGCGCCCTGCTGCTGCGCCAGCACGAGCTGACGCGACGCCAGGCACTGCCGGCCACCGAGCCGGGCGCCGAGCGCACCGGCCTCTACCAGCAGGTGAGGCGGCGGGCGGCCGCGCTGCCGTGGCGGGATGCCGACCCGTGTCTGACCCGTGACGTCGGCGTGGGACTGACCGCGGCTGCGACTGCGGCGGCCCGGCTGCGGCAGTCGGGCAGCTGTGGCACTGCCGCGGCGTCCGCTCACCCGGGCCCGGCGGACGAGTGCATGGTCTCTGTCCAGGGTCCGGCATAACGGGATGGCGGTCATTGACTCATTAAGAGCGGCCCGTCTCTGTCATAATTATCTCCGTCGCCGAGATGTTGCTTCATTACACCTTTCACCTGCAGCCCCTCCTCCTGCTGATGAAGATGAGCTCGCAGCCCCAGGCTCTTCCGAGCGTCCCTGCTTTCAGTGGGTTGGGTGGGAGCCGCACAGCGCAGTTCCGGAGGTTCTGTGATGACGTTCTCGTCAGACACGTTGGCCTGCGATCATCGCTTGCCAAGTCAAGCTCGTCGCTTAGCTGTCGGTCCCGCTTCTCGCTTCAGAGACGACCAGCAATCGTCTGTCTTTCCTGTTCTGCCCTGCCTTGCCTTGCCCTGTCCTGCCCTGTCCTGCCATGCCATGTCATGCCGTGCGACGCCATGCCCTGCCCTGCCCTGCCCTGCATGCGATATGCCCTCAGCTGAGGTCTTCACGTGTCCGCTTTCATCCTGATCGCGAACAGCTGATGTTGGCTGCCCTCTCACCGACCGGCCGCCTCCGCCGATTGCCCCCCTCCCGTGTGCCTGTCCGGCTGACGCGTGGGCCTCCGCCGCCGCCAGCTGCTGGAGCTGGCCGACCTGGTGCTGGCCGGGTATACGGCGCAGCTGGCGGCGCTGCGCGGCACGGAGCGGCACGCCGCCGTCCAGGCCGAGTTCGAGGCCGACCGCTACCACCTGATCGAGCCGCTGCGTAAGTGAGGGCCTCCCAGCGGCGGGCTGGTGACTGGCTGTGCAGCTGGGATAGTCTTGGATCACGCGCTCGCCGACCCGCCGTTTACTGCGGTGCATCGTTGCGTGTGGCGCAGCAAGAATAAAATTGGGTCGCCCCACGGGCTGGTTCGTCAAAGCGGTCGTGGTTGGTCGATAGTGTCTGTGCTTGCGGTGCGCGCTGCTCCAGATGGGTCAGTGTTACGCGCGTGCTGAGTCGCATAGCGCTCCGTCGTCATTTCAGCCTGCGTCCCAACAGTGCTGTGGAATATTTGCATCGCCTTCACAATGTCTAGTGTCGCTGTTTGAATCCCGTGAGCGGGTGGGCCTCGGTGCCCGGCTGCGACGCTCCGTTGGACCCGTGGCCGGGCGCAGTAACGAGCCGCTCCGTCAGAGACGTGTGCCCGCCGCCGCAGTGGAGGCGGAGCAGTACGAGCGGGCCACCAGTCTGGCCGAGAAGTACGCCGACTTCCGCGTCCTGGTGGAAGTGTGCGAGCGCACCAACAGCACTGAGAGGCGCAACAAGTACCTCGCACAGTTCGCTGACCAGGTGAGCCGACTGGCCGACTCGCCCCACTCTAGCCCACCGCTTGTTCCTTCGCTTGCTCCTGTGCTTGTGTGTTCGCTTCCTCGCCCGTACACTGCCTGTTCGCCCACTCCCACTCACTCACCCTGTCATTTGTTCACTCAGTCGTCCTTTCAAGCACTCGTTCATGTGCCACTCAATCACGCATTTACCCATTGGTCCACATCCCCCACTGATTTATCCCCCAACTTTTTCCCCCTACGCCACATTATTGCCGCCATTGAACCCTGCATTCCCGTCGCCCGCGTCGCTCGCTTGCATTGCCCTCTCAGTCCGGTTTCCTTCCGCGATAAGGTTTGATATTGCAGAGCGCCATTCGTGGAAGGGCGAAACGACGGCTGAGGCTCTCTTCGGTCCTGTACCTTGCGTAAGCGGCTGTGTCACCTTTGGTGGAGCGCAGTCTGGTCGGCCTGGAGTTATCCGCTCTGGTCCGTTTTTCCTTGGGCACTACTTATCGAAACGCCCCAAGGTCAGAGGGTTACGGGAGGTGGTTGCTGAACCTGTCGCCTCATCATCTCTGGCCGTGTCGGATAGGACTGTCTCAGCTCAGCGCGTAGGGTCCGTTGCGCCCCTGAGCTGCCGAGTATGCCCGGAATCTCGTCGGTACGAAGCCGTGCCCCACCGCACGTTCTCGTCTCGGCAGGGATTCGCCAGCTTCGTGTTCAACTGGTACCTGGACCAGGGCCGGCGCGGGCAGCTGCTGAGCCAGTGCCGGCAGGCCGAGCTGGCGGGCTTCCTGCACGATTACCGCGGCCTGCGCTGGCTCAACGAGCTGGAGGCCGGCCGCTTCGCGCAGGCTGGAGACACGCTGGCACAGTGCGCTGACGCCGAGACCGAGTTCCTGACCAGGTGAGCTGCTGCTGCGGCCTGACGAGACAAAGCTTCGGACCAGGTGAGCTCCTGACCAGATGAGCTGTTGACCAGGTGAGCTGCTGTCCATGTGAACTACTGATTAGGTGAGCTGCTGACCATGTGAGCTACGGATCAGGTGAGCTGCTGACCATGTGGGCTACTGACCAGGTGAGCTGCTAACCACGTGAGCTACTGACCAGGTGAGCTGCTGACCAGGTGAGCTACTGACTAGGTGCGGTGCTGACCAGGTGAGCTGCTGACCAGGTGCGCTGCTGCTGCGGCCAGACGATACGCGTCTCGTGAGTCCGTCTGTGCCGGTTGCCTGCCACCCCTGCCCTCCGCGCGCTGCCGTACCGGCCACTGACGTGCCGCCGCTGGCCTGCTCAGGAAGAAGACCTACCTGAGCCTGTCGAAGCTCTGCGCTTTGGCAGGCCAGCAGGGCGATGAGCTGGAGGTTCGCCTGACCAAGCTGAAGCCGGCCATCGAGCTGAGCCAGCTGCAGGAGCAGCTGCCTTCCTCCGTGCTGGAGGTCAGTCGTGGCCGTTGGCACACCGCGCTATTTCGCTGCAGAATGGTGCGCGCGTTGCGGGCAGGACTCCATAGCCTCCAGCCGGGGGCGTTTTTCCTCGCACCAGCAGGTTATGGTATTCATGAGATGGACTTTTTCAAGTGGATCGGAAGGCGCCGTGAATGATCGCTGAAATGGTGGTCGTCGCTCAGCGTTCCATGTTGGTGAAAGATGGCCGGCCCACCTGGTGCCAGCGTTGCGTGCGAAGTGGCCGGGGGAAGAGAGCTGAGGGACGCCTGTAGACTGGTGAGGGGCGATGAGGGGGGGGGGGGGGGGGGGAGGAGAGCGACGCTGGGCCGGCGAAAGTGTTAAGTTGCAAGCCGGCGTGTCATCTCGCATAGGCACTGCCTCATTCAAATCACGTGGCGTCCCCAAGCATGCCGCGAAGACAGGAACTCCGCTAAAAGCCCACACCGTCAAGGGCTTTTGACCACAAGCCGCCGTTACTCACCGAAAGTCGCGAATAAGCGGAAACAGATACACAGGAAAAAAATTATTGACAGAGCGCTATCTAATCATCGCGCAGTTGTCCGGTTGGCCCAGAAAACACGGTTAACATGCGGTCCGCGCTCCCTCTCCACCGCCTGGCTGTGGGGAATGACAGGTCACCTTCGGACCGGTGTCGATTTTGAGGCCAGCCGATGGGATGGCCAGCTGATAGCTCGGGGTCCGGGGCGGTGGTGTCAGCGCTCGCTCGCACAGTGGTGCGGGATCCAACAGGCTGACATGCAGGCCAGAGGTCGGCCGGTGTGGGAAGTTAGGCACGTATCACGTCAGTCACGCCGCACGATTGTCGTTGAAGTGGTTGTAGCGATGCGGACAGTGGTTATCTGGCGAATGAAACAGTCGTTCTAATTTGACATGCCTTACGTCTCGGGTAAATGTGTATTGGACCGATCTTGGAATCGAAGCTGACGTGCAAGGATCTGCTCCATTCTGTCCTGCTGCGAACTTCAGTCGCACGCCCTGACTGTGCTCGCTGCTGGAAAAGGCAATACTTGTTCATCTCGATTGGCTGTCCTCTTATTTCCGTGAGGGTCCTCCACGTTGCTACCCTGGGCCAAGGCGACGCTCTTCTGCGACCCTTGACCCCTGACCTGACCTGACCACAGGCGCACGGGATCGACGCTGAGACGATGCACGTGCTGTCGCCGCGCGAGCTGATCCTGCTGTACGTGTCGCCGGAGAACGAGGGCGCCAACGAGTTCGACTTCGAGCGGGCGTTGGAGCTGGCCGAGTCGGCCACGCTCGAGGGCGGCGACGAGGAGCGCGAGCAGCTGCGGCTCGAGATCTGGTGCCGCGCCGTGCTGCGCGACTTGTGGACCGGCCTCGACACGGACCGGCCGCTGGAGGCGTGCCGGGACACCCTGCTGTTGCGCACCATCAGGGGTCTGCAGCGGTCGGGCCGGCGGCCGCTGCACCTGCTACCGGAGCTGAACCTGCTGCTAGACTGCAAGCAGCTCAGTAAGCTGCGCGGTGACCGCGACTTTGCGTTCCTGCTGGGTGCCGTGTACGAGTACGTGGAGCGCTTGGAGGCCCACGTGGGGGAGCAGGCGTGAGCGGCGGCACGGGTGGCGCACGCTGGGCCGGCTCATGCGAACAGTGCTCGTGCCAGTGTCCGGAGCAGCGACTGCCGTCATCGTGGTCGAGGATCTTGACGTTCCCGTGCAAAAGGACCTGGTTCACGGCAGTGGCGCCTTCATCGTCGCGCGTGAAGCGTGCCGCACACCGTGTGCGCCGGTGTCCGTCTCGTCCCTCTCGCCTCGTTTCGTCCCTCTCGCCGCGTCTCGCCCGTCTCGGTCATCGTTGGCTGGTTGCGGTGGACGTCTGTTTCGCAGCCACATTGGCCGCTGGTTGTGGCGGGCTGAGGGACGGCCCAGGCACGTGTGACTGAGATCGCCCGGTCCCCAGGGGCGGACGGTCATCCAGTCCGAAGGGAGTCTTGGGCGACGAAGGGTTCAAGGCCGTACAATACTGCCACTGCCACATCCTTCCCGTGCTGGCAAATGATGGAAGGTTTCGTTCAGTTTGGAATCACAGCCACGGCTATCCGAAATACATGGTTCTGTTTGTGCCGTTCGTTTATGTAACCATTGGTGACATGGCTTACCCAGCGCAGAGCAATGAGTTCTGCACATAGTCTTACCGGACCGCGCTATTGTACAACAAACCACACACGCCTAAAAAAGCGGGGTGGAAAACGACTGCTCCAGATGTGCGCGACTTCGAGCGCAGTATCGGAGGAGGTGGTGCTGTTGAACGATGGTCTGGAGGGCCCTGATTCCCAAACGCGTTTGAAGCTGCAGCTGTAAACGGTGCCTGGTTTTGGATTGATGCATCTGGAGGCTTGCCCGCGTCAAATGACTAGAAGTGTAGATTCTTCACCGCCCCGGTCTGGCCCAGCCGCTTCGGCTTTTAACGTGGTTTCTTTTCTGGCACAACTGATGTTTTTTTATGTTTTCAGCGTATTTGTACGCTGTCTTTTTGATCAAAGTTGGATTTTTGCAACACTGCAGCGCCGCGAAAAATGTCCTTTTTCCCGTCCAGCAACTTTGGCGGTGCGGTAACCGCGAACAATCTGGAGAGCACGAGTCGAAACTTGGCGCTCATCTCAGCAGCCCGAGATTGCAACGACGCGATACGTGCGCCGGCTGACAGACGGGAAACGGACAAGAAACGATTGTACTGACCCAGACTGATGTTGACCTTCACTGCAGTAGTGAATAGTGATCGAATCTCTTGTCACCTCTGCCCAGGGCATTGCATGTGGTAGGGATAAAGCGTGGTATTTGTGACCAGTTTAATAAACGCACTGGAGGCGCGCGTTTGCGGAGGGCGTACACACCGCCATGAGAACACGTGGTAACCGATCCGCAGCAATGGAGCATAGCAAGGCAGCTACTAAGTCCGAAATGTAATCGACGTTTATCCATATCCATTTTGTGTCCGTTAAATGATTTTCCAATGTTACTTATCGCCGTCGAATTTTCACCCCAATGGCTTATTCCGAGTCGTGTGTTGTCCCTGGTGACTTTTTGTTCATTGGTGTGCTTTCAATCTTTTACTACCACCGTCTTCTCTTTCATCTTTTGCTTATCCTACTTCGACGTCTTCGACGACTTTTTATCCCTCCATTTTTTTCCGATTTCACTCTCATCCCCACCACCTTTTTTGCTTTCAGCTGTTTTCGTTCGCTTCTCCGTCATTCGGCTTTTTCATTTGACTGCGGAAACCCCGGCACGGTAGACGGGGTTCGCCCGCACCGGAGCCGGCGGCGTCACGTGCGTCGGTCGCTGCCGACCGGAAGCCGACGGGCGCCGATGACGCTTGCGGGGTCTTACACCTGCCACCGGAGAGCGCCACCGGAGGGCACGCCGCGTCACCCATCGCCGACAACGGCAGCTCGGCTGCATCAGCGCCGGGACCCGCCAGGCCGGGGCTGTATGGCCCTGTCAAGGCGCATGACCCTGTCAAGGCATCCGTGAGGTAAGTGATGGTAGTTTTTCTTGTACCATAGTAGACAGTACAAAATCCTGAAATTATCTAGATATAGCAGTTTGGTTGGCCGCGAGAGCTCGTGTCACTCGCTGCGATGCAACTAATGGAAGTGCACGTGACTTTCAGTGTCCCTCGACTTTGCAGACGACCGGGCGTCTCGTCATCCTGCTACAGAGAAAAACGTGCTCGCTAAAGTTGGGTTGGTTCCGTTTGGAAAGCACGTCTGCACATTGTATTCTCGTCGGAGCTGTGTCTCACACCACGTTGCTAAAGATCGCCCAGATCGTTTTTACCACACACGATGTTGACGACGTGCGTTTGACTGCTTTGCTGCCATGTGTTAGACATAGCCGGGGCAGACCATGGACGGACCCATGGCTGGGTAGGCCGGAGGGCTTCCAGGGACGGTCCAGATGTGACAGCTGACCACCTAGGATGTAGTCCTCCGAGCCATGTGAGACAATATACGGATGAAAGACAACCGACGCTGCCAAGCCAGATCATCCATTACCGGAATGATAAGCGCTCTGGCCAAAGAGCTTCCGGTCTATGCGGAGCCGGCGTGCACGTCTGTGACGGCAGAGCGGCGGAGCCCAGTAACGCAAATTCAGCTTGTGTTGCTGTGATCTGCTGGCTCTGGCGGTCACACTTCGACGTTATATGTACGTTGCGCATTCGCATCACTGGCAGTGCCCTTAAAAACAAATGCACTGTACCGCCCGTTTAAGAGATATAAATTTTACGTTGCACGTTTGTCTCACGGTGTGGCGCATAGTGGTGTAGCGCTACTGGACATATGTAGCTCTTGACAGGTATGGCCTGCGGCCGGTGACTGCGGCTGTGCAGAAGGTCAGTAGACGTCAGAGGGCAGGACGGACCGTGCCGAGCATTGCAGCATGTTAAACTTTCGCCCCGACCTGGAATTGCGCGATCGGATGATAGCGGTCAGGGCTTATACAACAAGTGCTGCTTAGCGCGCGCTCTGATCCCAATAAATCCATCCATTCTAGAGATTCGGATGTAATCTCAAAAATATCACACTTGCAATGTGCTGGGTTAGTGTAAAGATCATACCTGACAACAGTTCAGACTAAGGGGCCGCATATACACAGATGGTGTCGCCGTCGTTGTCATCAATCTTCGCAGGTGGCGCTGCTCTCGATGTTGGCGAACATCAATATAGAATGAACCATACCCAGCATTCAATGGTGGAGAAGCGTTCATTCACACTGGCGTCGTTGAACGACGACATACCTGACACATCAGCCTCTCGCTAGGGCCAACAAAACTGAGCGGTGCATGAAGCGAGCTCCAATCCGCGCGAAGCATTGCTCAGCGGTTCAGGACCGGCTGCACTGAGCGCCATAGGCGATCGCCGGTGTATCCCCTGTCTTCAGTACGGTAGATAGCATGCAGCGCAATAGTTTCTGTGTGACGTGTCTGGTCGCCATCCTGCATCGCGTGGTTCAGCTGTCCCAGCAGCGTACTAAGAGAATGACGCCGAGCGAGGTCAATATATTGGCAAATTGGATTCCCAATGTCGGGTGGCGCTCAGAGAAAAGCATGGCTTACTTGCATCATAACATTAGCCGGTCTCCACAACGGCGTTTCTACAGGTCAACTGTGATGTTAAGAGCAGGTATATCCGCGGTCCACGTTAGCTTCCTCCCAGGGCTGCAGGACACGCCGAGTACAGACGGGTATGGGCGCCAGTGGCCACGAGAATGGGCCCTGTCGTGTCATGCCCATCGCACCCAGCTGGCGAAATAGCGTGAAAAGATGGTTAAACACGGTCACTTTTAATGTTATAAGAGTTGGCAACTACACTATTTTGAACCATTTGCCCATCACACCAAAAAATCCGCAGCCTCTTCGCGGGCATGATGTCCATTTTCTTTCCATTCTTATGTTCGGAGGCATTATCGTGTGTAGCAAATGCGATGTAGCTGATTGACAACACAACACCAGATGTCAAGGCATAAAGCATTTCCGTATTTTGCCATTGATTAATGTTGACTCCGGCAGCGGCATCACGCCAGCTTCTCCCAGTGCTCTCCGACGGCGTCAGTTGGCATAGCGTTCAGATTTTGGAGCTCCCCAAAATAAGCTCACCTGATGCACTCTTCGCTCAAACGGGGCACCCGTCTCATTTAACCAACGCACCCTCACGGTGTTGCATTCACGTGTTGGCACACGTTAGCAAGTCCAGGGTTAGCAAGCCTCCGCCATGCTTTCTTGATGAACAAAATCTGAAATTCATAAAAGGTCGTACCCCTACTGTCCCTTCACTTTGCGCCGTTCCTAGCATACTATCCTACGAGTTATAACAAAGGTATAACCTAAGCCTATAATCCGAGCCTCACGCTGAGCATCACTTTCACTGCCACGATGCAACGGTTTCAATTAAAAATGGATGAAACAAACATGCTTATTGCAGGACGCTGCCATCAGCATTATTGTGCATTCTAGGATGTATTTCTGCGGCGAACCTCGTTCGCTCCAACATTCGCTTCCACTGCCCTTCCATCGGAGGCACATACGTGCGCCTCGGCAGGCCCACGTCACAGCTCAGCCCTGCGCGAGACAGCCGGTCCGCGCCCGTCGCCGCCGCCGCCACTACAGCACGTAGAAGCACCAATACCCCACATTGAACAGCACAAATGACACGGGAAACACCACACGCGAATACTTGTCGATGCTGTTGACGTCACGAATCCGCGGCAGCGAGCGGCCGATTGCCGACGCGCCTCGCCGCAGTGACGTCAGCATGCGACGGCGGCCGGGCGCGGCGCGGACCAGCGGGCGGCGAGCGCGCCGCGCCACAGTTGCCGCGGTGGCGCAGCGTCGCTGGCGGCGGGAGACGCACGTCGCGCAGCTCTATGATGCCGTCGTCACGGCCGGCGCGCCAGCCGTCGGCGCCGCCGGCCGCCTTCTGCGCCTTCTTCTTGGCGCGCGCGCCCCAGTAGGTGTAGTTGACGGCGGCGTACTCGAGCAGGGCGGCGAACACGAACACGAAGCACATGACCAGGTAGATGTCGATGGCCTTGACGTAGGAGATGCGCGGCAGGGAGGAGCGTACGCGCCCGTGCTGATGGTGGTCATGGTGAGCACCGTGGTGATCCCTGCCGGACAGAGGGCGTGGGGGGTCAGGGTGTGGTGATGTCTGCCGGGCAGAGGTGGTTCGGGTATGGTGATGTCTGCGGCAAAGTGGAGGTCAGGGTATGGTGAATGTCTGCCGGAGAGAGGAGGTCAGGGTATGGTGTGCTGCCGGATAGAGGGGGTTGGGTATGGTGATGTCTGCCGGGCAGAGGGAGGTCAGGGTATGGTGATGTCTGCCGGAGAGGGGGTCAGGGTATGGTGATGTCTGCCGGGCAGAGGGGAGGTCAGGGTATGGTGATGTCTGCCGGGAGAGGAGGTCAGGGTATGGTGATGCTGCCGGAAGTGGGGTTGGGTATGGTGATGTGTGCCGGACAGAGGGGGAGGGTCAGGGTATGGTGATGTCTGCCGGGCAGAGGGGGTTCAGGGTTATGGTGATGTCTGCCGG